TACCTTGATTTAAACTTTGCGCACTATTTGAGCGATTTTGCCATTATTGAAATCAATGTAACAGGTACACTGTATATGTAAAAATGCTAAATTTTGGTGATTACCTACCAACACCATTCCATCCCCTAAAATACTTAAAATTGGTTTGTACAAAAAATTGTACAACATGCTCATAATTTTCAACACAACTATAGAATATTTTTGATATATTTAACTAAGCAAAAAAAAAAAAAAAAAAAAAAACTAGAATGAAACTCATTCTTGAATAAAGGAAAATTACTGTATGATTTTTGTGTACAACGTTGCCATGGCAACTGAAATGATATTTTTATAATCATTTTCAGAAACTACACAATACCTGATTTCAGATATTCATTGGTATGTACAAAGATTACAAGAAATACTCAGAAAAATGCATTGAAATCTTAATATCAATTTGTCTAGAAATGCTTAAAATCTTTGCCATGGAAGGGGTTAAACGAGCCTTCTAATATTCTTATATGAACACTCTGACAAATAAGATTGTGATTTTGCATCATTTTGAAATTCTGTTTATTTGTTTTCTAAAAAACAGTTTAATTTAAATGAAATCATGCGACTTTGTTTAATACATCATTTTAAAAATCTTAACACGATATGTAATAAATGAAAGATGTTTTTGTCCGGTGTACTAGTGAAAACTGTCGTTAGTCCTCAGAGTCGCTCTAAAAATAGAATTACCAAGCGGTAGCCTTGCAATTCGGCACTCGATCTATTATCATGTTAAGGTAAGTCACAATCGTTATCGGTTGGTTTTCGTAAGAGTTTAGGGCTTCTTTTTTATCATCATGAAACATGACAAATATCGAATACTTCCCAATCTGATTAAAATCAGATCCGCAATCCGCTCCTTCATACCATCGTCTTTTTTCACTTCAAGTACTTATCCTCATTTTCCCTTTATTTTTTTATGGTCGCAACAGAGCCCTCGTGTAGCTACCATAAAAGATAATGAAGCGGATCAAGGATCTGATTTTAATCAGAATAATTCCCTAGCAGGTACTCACTAAACTTGAGAAAAGTTGATTTTCGCATTTTTCGATAAAATGCTGCTAAGTTTATTTAGTAAAAGCATGAATTTTGTAAATTCAAAATGCAACATTTATTTCAAAATATTTTGCAACGTCAATGTAAAACGATGTAGAATATAGTTTCTTTCTCGCTGCGTAGTGTGAGAGAAATGAAAGCGTGTGCTTTTTACAATTTATGTATGTAAAAATATCCAATCGGAGACAAATTTCATTATTTACTGGAATGTCATGTGTTATGTTATTTTCGAAAAGATTTTCTGTTAAGGATTACTATATGTAAATCTAAATATTACAAAATTCTATATTTTGATGACAAATATTGATCCAGCGTTTACAAGGAAATTGTGCATTTCACAAAAAAAAAAAAAAAAAAAAAAAAAAAAAAACAAAATTGACACTATCTGTCCTCCTGTAATCTCTGCTCGTCCGTAATTATTGTACATATGTATCTTTGTACTACCATGAAATATGTAAAGATAGCGAATAGTATTGGAGCTAAAAAGTCCATAAAACAATACAAAATTAGAGAAGAGCAAACACGAACATCAAAAACATCATAGGTGTGATACATGTAATGTGCCATGGGGGAGGAAATTAGTGTGTAAATAATGATCTTACAATCACTAAGAAAAAAAAGTCAGTCAGCATTTAACTTCATGATAAATTGTATTTGCTGACACGGTCATTGTATTAACCATAGCAGTTACGAAATGATGACTTTAAGCAATACTGCAGATATTCTTTCATCATCAGCTTGTTTGTCAATAATTACCTTGTTTTAGAAACTGTTCACACGTAGAGCATGCTCTTCCGTATCGAGTCAACTGAGAATTATAAAGTCAGTATGCAGATGACAAAGGTTTATTGCTGCATAAGTGAGGGAATTTTACCAATGAAAAGTTAAAGTCATCACGTTTTTCATAAAGCTATGTTGTTAGATAGTCATTAACGTCTTTTTCTAGTTAAAAATCCAAATATGAAACAAATGTGTCAGACCAAATGATATCTTTTATTTTAAGCTTACTGGGATATATCGTGCTCACGTAAGAAAAGCTGCAGATCTGTAGCTACCTTAAAAAATAATTTGACAGACCGGAGAGCTACTGTGAGACCCATTGAAAAAATGGTTGTGTATTGATTAATTCTTCCAAATTCTTACATCAATTGCAAAAAAATTAGATTTTTAAAAATTCCGTACTCTTCTATCAATTACTTTCCTAGTTGACATCTACACGAAGCGCGTTGGGCCGAATTATCTTACAAACCAAAATGACAGTATAAACAGACGAAATTTTCGATGATCTCGATTTCAGGGACAAGAGGGCTATAAACAACAACTATAAGGTATGTTTTCTTGTGGAAACAGTGAAAGATTATGTTAGGAGTACACGTTAGTAATATGTTGAGAACATGGAAAAATAAGTCGATAAAAAACGCACTTTTTTGTGCGCAATAAATATACAGTTTTTTTCAATGGGTGGCACTGTAGTCTGGTCTTTCAATATTTTCGGAGAGCTACAGTCCTGCAGCTAACAGAAGAATGAATAGCTTTTGTTATAATTGACAATATGTCGTGGATATATATAAAAGTCGATTTGAAGGCTACAGCAAGTGTTTTCTTCTATACACGTAAAAGATTTTGCGCAAATTCTTTTTCACATGAAAACAAAGGTCTGCTAATAACGGGGCGATTGGTACACATGGGAATTCCAATAGATTATCAGAAGATCTGTCTCCAAAAAACCACAAAGATTTTTCAGTCAGAAACTCAAGCATCTTTTTATCAAACGTTCCAATATTTTCTTGGAGATTTTTTTAGTATCCACATCTGATTTACACCACTTCTCAAATATTAAGTTGCACAGTACTCTTGAAGTTTCTCCTTCACTACTGTTGATATTTTAGTGAGGAGTAGAGAAAGAGGCTTGGTAGAACATCTACTCGAACCCACTATGTATCCTTGTTTGTAAGGGTTTTTATGAAGTTTCGGAATACCCTATTGATATAGCAATTCATTTAAGTTGTTTTAATATTTAAATACTGTAGAAGTACTCTTTTCCGCGTGGTATTAATTTACGCTATGTGATCCACGGAAATGGCTTAATATAAATGTAAGGCATATAATGAAGTTGTTTTAATATAAAAATTATTCCGCGGAAAAACCCGTGGAAAAAAGGACTTCTACAGTATTTAAAACTGACATGTATGATTTTGAAGAATTTCTTCCTTAAAAAGGGGGCTATACGTTGGTTTCAGTCGAGGGCTGAAAGTCAAATCTGACAAATAAAAAAACTTGATGGACAGTGGATAGTCTCACAGTCTGGTATACCACCTAAAAATCATGAGAAGCCAATATTAAATAATAATATAAGTTATTTGATGGACAGTGGTTAATTTTTGGGTCAACTGTAAACTGACCCAAAGCAGATTATACTCGATAATATGGTATCCCTTATAATTTAATTTTAAAACAATTAAACAACTTTTGATGTAAAATTGTCAATAATACAACCATAGTAACGGAAGTGATTTGAAGCGAGGGGAGGTAATAACTGATACAAAGATCTAGCAGCCATGATGTTTGTTTACATGAGGTAAGAACGAGTAATTGTTTAAAGTTTAAGGTACATTTCTTAAATTTGGAATTTTCCATGGATTCCGAGGACTGGAAATGGGGGGATTGCACGGATATGATGATTAAGCCGGTCGTCAAGGGGGTGTGTCCCCATTCCAAACCAGATTATACAAAATGTTCTGCGTTTTTTTTTTTTTTTTGGAATTCAACCAATGAGAGGAGAGAATACAAACAAAATTAATTATATATATATATAAGTTAAATGTACGGGACAATATGTTACTTAAAAATGATTTGACATGACTCTATGAGACATAAATTACGTTTGCATTTCGTGTGCCGATGTACACTTTTAAGCTTTCTTCATGTTGGCATTATTTTCTTTCTAAATGTGTTAATCATGAAACTTGGGATTCATGATCATTAAATGTTGCTCTTTACTATGATAAGAAATGAAATTCAATATAGTAAAGAGAAACCAGGTGATCTGCCCTGTCTACGACGTTTTGGGACAACCCTCGTAATGCGTTAATCGAATATGAAAAAAAAATCTTGGCTAAGTTTTATAGCTTAATTCATGTGTTAAGATCAGACAAGAAAGCCTCCTGTTCGTGGTAGGTTTAGAAATACTTGATGCTTAGCTATAAATCTCCAGGATCAAGAGATCTTTCTTTGGTACCCAGAAAAGATCCTTGTCACGAGAAAAACAGTCCTGAATATGAAAACCCTTAACTCCAACCAACTCGAATACGGGAAAAAAAATTGTGACCAGTAAGACAATGATATGTGATCAGCATGACGTTGTGGACTATGGGTCCCTTTGTTTATTGGATATTTTCAGCATTCTGAAGGATCTCAAGGATCAATGACTGTTGTTGCTTGCTCTTGTTCAGGTCAAAAGAGTCGCGAAAAAACCGTCTTTATAATACTGAAGATATAGAGTATTAGTAGAAATTCATATTAAGCATAATATCATAATATAGAATGATTATATTGATAAAGAAACATTTTTTACTAATCTGCCTAAAAATAAAATAGAAAAATATCTGAAAATGACCCTTTTTATCCCATAACAACATGCAGAGTCGAAAGGATCATAGCAGCACAATCGTGTATGTTCATTTGTTAGTGAGTAGATGAATGAGTTCTGTGAGAGACGAAAATGACGTATTTTACACCGGGATCAATGTCGAATATTCCTTGATTTATAGGTTTGCTATTTGCGAGATGTTCCTCCTTTCTGTGTCCTTCTTTATAATTTATTTCCCTTATATTGCTTGTTTTTCGACTCTATTTTAGATTTTGGCAGTAACCACATTTGGAGTTCAACAGATCAGAAAAATTATAAACTAGTGTAATCTTATGCAGTCTTTAATATAATTTCACACCAGGTACAATTATATGAAATTCTGCTTATTTATAGCACTCAGTCGGAGATGATCTGGAAAAAAAAAAATATTTGAGAAAATAAACAGCTAAATTCTATGAAGCATAATTATAATTTCTTCCATCGCATGAATTTACATTTGCAAAATGATTAGTGATTTAAATAGACTTCAAAACACAGGTCTTGTAGAATGGACTTTTTCATTCAAATGTTCTTCCCAACAAAACAATAGCTCAAGGGTCCTCCGAAAAATACGCTCTGGTGTGGTGTAGGGGCTACTCCAGCATGCTAGAGGTTCACGGCGAGATACTTTTGACTTGGCGCCGCGTTAGCATCCATTGTAAAAATTTTGAAACCCCAATGGAAATAAATTATTTTATTAAGAAATAAGGCTTTGTATATTAACGAATGGTACAAAATAATAAAATACTCAATATTTACGATAAAATTTACGCATAAAAAAACTGTTAACCTCTCTTATTAGCAATAAATCCATTATTTTTAAAATCGAAGCAGAACTTGAAACCAGTCGTCTGTTTATAATTCAGAAATGGAATTCAGAAAATCTGACGAAACGAAACTAGTGTAATGCAACGAAAAATTCGTTTTCTGACAAGCAATCCGCAAAATTAATGTGAAGTCAAATCGAAAGTACTTCTGGTGACAAATTGGAATTATGACAATTTTCATTAATTAACAATAATGCACACTGAATAAAATGGATTTTATTATTTCTTGTGGCTTTTATACCTCAAGCAAACACGTAGGTACCTGAAAATTGCTTGTTAACAGTTTATTTCACGCATAATACGTTCCGCCCAAAATCTCAGGCGGAACGTGCTCGTTAGAAAATGGCCTTCGGATGTAAGAGTCCGAGGTATATAAGGAGCGTAGGGACGTTAACCGAGGCTCTTACTTGTAGGAGTAGTAGGGGCATAATTATACTTCGGCTTGCATGTTTCATATTTTAATTTTGACTTTTTTGTTCCCTTTCTATGATTACTCGATTCAAATACTCACAAATTGCTATGAAGAACCTTTCAACCAAAACTTTCCATGGTTTGACTTAATGTACATTGTACAAAATTCAAACAAGTACATGTACATGTATATCGCGTCGGTGAGAGAAGGTATTGAAACAGAGTCAGACAGTTATTTCGCGACATTTTACAATTTTTTGGGTGTTTTTTAACATTTAGTTTAATTTTTTGGATTGATTGGGGTAAAATATACTGTACAATACTGTAGTGCATTGACGAACCTTATTATGTATTGATTGACGTGATTCGCACATTGTCAACAGCAACAACACCATTGTACTGAAAGTTATCCGTCAAGTCGCCGCCAACATTACCACGAAACCCATACTGTCATGAAAGAAAAAGATGAAACGATTCATTTCAAGGAAGAATTTATCAATTGTGATTAAATATATATATATTTACAATTAAGTTGCACAAAGCAATAGGGTCAATCACCAATTCTGTTACCTTTAGCTCGACCATGAACATGACATTTGAGTAAGACAAAAATATTTATATCATAACTATTCTGTTGCATGGCTTTATATCAAACCGAGTCGCCCGCCTGAATATGACATTTGAGTAAGACAAAATTATTTATATCATAACTATTCTGTTGGCTTCATATCAAATCGAGTCGCCCGCGTGGCGTAGTGGTTAGAACGTCTGCTCTGGAGTCGACGAAGTAAGGAGTTGATCCTTACGTCGCGGGTTCGAATCCCACAGTTGGAGTTGGAGATTGGTCCTTTGGATGAGACCGTATAAACCGAGGTCACGTGTCGCAGAAGGTGTTAGCACGAAAAAGATCCTTCCATGCTCAACAGTCCTGAGTGCCGAGTATAGGACAAAATTTGCAGCTCTCCATCGGCAAGTGGTGGCGTCTCAATATGAGTGAAACATTCTCGAGAGGGACGTTAAACAGTATACAATCAATGAATGAATCATATCAAATCGAAAGTTTCAAATTTAATTCTAGATATAATAAAACGAGGTTACTATCGTAATTTATATCAATTATCTAAAGACAATGGGAATGCATGATAATTGTACTTACAAAGGATTTACTTTTAGTGGTCGTTATAGTCCCGTTGAATGATCGCCATACATCGTCAGTAGAGGATACATACACATGATTTGCTGAGTCGATGAAGGCATCGTAAAAAAAGCTCAGTTTGCCGTTTCCTTTAACCAAGTAATCAAACTCTACACGTACAGTTCCTTCGATACAAGAATTAAAGAGAACATTATTATTGTAAAACAATGCATCATTTTCATTTATTTCATATCAGGCATTACACATAACAATGAAATAATTTGCTTTTTTTTTTTGTTCTGTAACGTCCCATTCGTTAATCTATATTCTTATAAGTGAAAAAAATTAATATTTACTCTTAAAGAGTTGATTAAGTAGAAATTTAAAGTATCCAATGAATAAGATGCTAAAGATACAGAAAAAGAGACAGAAAATTTACGCAATTAGACCAGATGTAAAAAAAAATTTAGGGGTTTGAATTTTTTTTTTTAATTTTTTGCTTTACTTTTTTTAATTCACTTTATTATTTACCTGTCACATATTTTGACGAGAACATAATTCCGGATTTTTTAGTTGTACATGTCTGTGAAGATCTGATGATGGCGTAGTGATCTCCGTCCAATGGAGATGGTATTAACCTTTCTCTCTGTTAAATAATTTCTATTCAAATGTTTAAATTAACTTTGAAATAGAAGAAAACCTAAGATCAACAAATATTAGTGAAAATGCTTGATTATAATAAATTTAATATTTTTGGCAGCTTGCTGATTTCTTGCGCAAGATTGGCTATAAAATAGGTATTTGCAGACGTTTCTATGAATTCAAGATATGCAGAAATAAATTTACTTACATGACTAAAATAGTATCAATAATTATCTTCAGATATGGAAAAAACTTAATCGGTAAGAGAAATTCATTCATATATTAACCTGATATGACAAAATCAATCTTTTTTGTTAGAGAAGTTAAGATTTTAGTGGTCGAACATTTGCGATAAATAGACTAATTACTTACAGAAGTCCTTGTAAAATTAATGGTATTATTTCCAGAATTTTTGAGGCAAAATTCTTGCTCAAAATCACAACGAGAGCTAAAACAGAAATTTAACACAATGAAAACAACATTTAAAGAAAAATTAAAGATAAATATCATCATTAAAATTGAACTAGATTCATACAAGGAATGTGTTCGACGGAACTCTATATCTGAGTTTCCCTATATATAGAGCAATTCACTTAGTCACTGTTCAGTTTAATCAGTCGTCAGCAGTGTAGACGGGCATATGCTATACAGCACCCCAAGCGACAAAAGTAACTGTGAACCTCTCCTATTCATGTCTATTGCAGGAGAGTAAGATACCCAAAAGGTCAGTACAGTATAAAAAACAAACAGCTCAAGTCAATATCGAAAATAGTCGTAAGAATATTATTTTTTGCATATTCATCAATATTCATAAATGTACAAAATAAAATAAATTAGCATATTTTGCATATGAATCAAATGTGAATATTTGAATATTTGGGGCCATTATTGGTAAATTAGTTATATAAACCAATGCACAGTCAACCAATTATTATATAAAATGGATCATTAGTGTAGTCTACAAATGATTTTGTGTGATAAGTTACATTGAAATCATAAATGAACCAAAACTGTAGAAGGAGACATTATTATAAATGCATTTTATAGGTAAATATATATTTTCATAAAATATCATTTGTTCAAAAAAAATTCTATTTTTAGTAACCATGACAGGCAGGTCGACAGGTAGACCGTTCATCGAAATCAAAAACCGATGCACTATTTTATGTTAATAAATGTGCTTTTATAGTGTAGTGACAACATTACAAATGTATTTTGTGTGCCAAATTTATATATTATATTGAAATCGGAGCATAATACACAAAATTGTAGGAGGACTGTTATCAGACAGCGAATAAAATTTGAAAAATTGTGATATACTGACTACAGACGGACGGACGCCTGTCAAACCTGTCAAACCTGTCAAATTTTTGTTCTTCATTTAAACTGTTATCGCACCTGTAAGCTCTTAAACTGGTCTCTGACCAGTAGACCTTTCAAAGAAAACAATTTCATTTGTTTAATATTCATTAAAAAGTAATTTGCATTTAATGTTTTGTTCATATATTTATATAAGAATATAAATATAATATATGAATATTTAATCTTATAATAACAAAACCGATTTACTGCAGATTATGTGGATAGGACTATTTTCGTCTTATTTTGTACTTGACCCAAAATGAGTATATGTAACTACAATAAAGTGTAAACAAAGGTAAGATAACCAGTACGAACACGGGTCGCCATTCTACGCCGGTACCCGTGAAATTAAAGCGGTCAGATGTCAAGAATGTGAAGAGTATGCCATCGTACATGTACCATAGCTTGATGTTGATATCGTAGATATTTATATCAAAAATGGCGTATGCCTCTCTACGAGCCCTGTTCAGCTTTAAGGATTTTAATTTACTTACTCTTTCTCACAGGTAACGCCGGTGTATCCCACGGGACATTCACAGTTCCCTTCCTCATTGCAGACTGCATTATTCATACAAGGATTAAGATTCTCCTCACACCTCACGGTAACTGTTTCCTGATTTTTTTTTTTTTTTTTGAAAAATGCAGTAAAAAATCAACGAAAATTTAAGATTTAAGACTATAAGCTGAACGAACTTTATTAATAGTAATCATCAGAACATCCAATCTTTTGCTTTAAATACTTTTAACATTAGATTACATATGACATTTTAAGCAGTATTTATAAAAAATATATGAAAAGTTAAAAATGAAATGCACCTTTCCACCATCTATAGAAAACCTGGCTGTTCTAATCTTACTTTTGGAAGACGGTAAATCCCGTAACTTCCGGTTAATATCGTCATTGGAGCCCCGTCCTTCCTGTTGAATATATACACATTTACAAATAACAAGTGCTATTTCAGGTAAGATCTAAATATTAGATTGCAAAAACATCGTTCAACATACTTGTGCAAATAACATATTAACAAAAAATCAGAGATTCTTATAAAGAAATGACTCTTACAGGAAATATCATAACAATTTGTAATTTATCTCAATATCCGTAAGAAAGAAGTTCGGGTTCATAAATAACATAAAAAGAATTATTTTTCTGAAATGGAGACAATTTGGAGTAAAAGTAAGGTGTTGCGAAGTAAAGAGTTGATCCTTACGTCGCGGGTTCGATGTCCGCTGTGGGACGTGGAGTCCGGTCGTTTGGTTGAGACCGTATAAACCAAGGTTCGGTGTTGCAGTAGGTTTTGGCACAAAACGATCCTTCACTGCTCAAAGGCCTTGTTTTGGAATGAGACTTTACCCAAAGCCAGCCCCCACCCTTATAGTCATGCTGTAGAGTGAGACTTCCCATGGAACTTTTATTGTCTTCCATTGAGGGGAAAGTATTGCTAGATTTAAACTTCACAGTATGAAGAAAGCTCACTCTAGAGCAAGACTTTCCGGGTAATTCAAAGATGGGGGAAGTTCGCTCAACAACACGGTAAGGGTCGAATAGAGATTTAATTTATAGCCCTCTATTTGCAAGTTAATGAAAAAAACGAATGAACGTTTAACAAATAAATTCAAATTTAAGGGTCGAAACAATGATCTACTTAACAAATACATACTGACATTTGGTCTAATGCGCATGACTTTTTTTAACCAGTTGCTAGAATTTTTTACACTAAACTGTCTACGGAAATTCTTTTACCAGGTCTTCAAAATTAGTGCATTGCAGGTATGATCGGTTGAAAAGGAATGCTAACTTTTCTTTTGCAACATATACCTTCTATGATGATTTTTGCCCGTGTTTACCCTGCTCTTATTTTTTTGTTTTGAATAATGCAAAACATTATGCATATGTCGATTTTTTTTTGTATGTCAACATCGAGTACATTTTTGTTAAGTTAACTTGTTAAAGAGAGATACTAGTATATAATAAGCATAGATAGTTCATCATGTTCATTCTTAGGTAATTAATTATTTCTTTTTTCCGTTTTATTTCAAAAAAGGGGGTGGCGGAATTGCATCCTGCTAAAAGTAAGGCCCCTTTTTTCCTGTAAGTTTTTATCCTTTTAATTTTAAATTCATCTTTCCGTGCTTTGAGGAAAAATTCTAGTATATATTTTTCTATTTTAATGTGATAAAACACGCGTAATTATACTTACTGATCACAACATCATTTGTGTACAAGCTAGCAAAGTCAAAGGTCCAGTTCTATTATTCACCCAGTTTCCATTAATTCTAAACATATACTGTGAGTGATACCGTATTTAAAAGTTACGTTAGATCTTTACTTACAAGTGGAGACCCTAGACACACTGCTAGCGCTGCAACGGAAACAACTAATAATCCTAACGTAGTCCTCATGTCTCTGCTTATTAATAATTTATGGGTGTAATTTAGCCCCTTTTATACTTAATAGATATAAGGGAGGAGTTTTGTTTTAGTTGTTTTGATTGACATTGACATGCTCAATTCTGAAATTTCATTCAATACTTTGCATACATGTAAGTCTAACAATATTCTTCTACTTTCAATTTTCTAACCTTGTACGATATTCCATGATCAAAATTTAAAATGTTGAAAGAAAATAAGTATTTTGATATGTATTATGTTTGGGCTGTATACATTGTTTATTGAAATCATTGAAAAACGATATGTTAAATTCCTGGACAACTGTTATATATAGCAACAATGTCTATTTCTATCATTATTCCGCAAATTTGGACCAGACATTATAACTCACTAGGATAGGAATACAATAAGATTAGGTTCCAGAACTTACAGCATTGAGAAAAGTATATTTCTCATCATTATTTTGTGTGGAAAAGGTTAAATATAAGATCACCTTAATAAGTGTCATCCAACCATTTGGTTCAAGTATAATATTAGATGAATTAACTAGTACGCTACAAAGTTTATTCAGTTAAAGAAATGTTGGTCTTTTTTTCATTCAAAACTAAATATTTAGAATGTTTAAATCTATTTTTGATAACAATTTATAAAATTAAATAGGTTTAAATAAAGACACTGAGCCATATTTCATTTTTAACATGTACGAATTGAGAGATCCCAGTGGTACAATGTTAAAAAATAGAATTTATGGCATATATTTACATTTGGAAATAATCAAAATTCATTAATGCCACTGACTAAGAAAAGAGATAATTGTTTGATATTTAAATTATCATAGAAAGCATCATCATGTTATGGTCCTTTAAGCAATATTGGTATGTTTTCTTAATTAAATGACTATCACTGTTTTTGGTTGTTTTTGTTTTTGTTTTTTTGTTTTTTGTTTTTTGTCTTTTTAAATGAAAGATTTTTTTTAGTTATAGCGTGTACATGTAATTTCTAAGTCTAATTGAAGTATAGGGTATTTGACTAAATTAATAGGGTAATATAATTACAAATATAAATACATAAGTATACAAAAATAGACAATAATTGATTTTCATACTAGTTAGTTTTAAGTGATTTGATGTGATAAAATAAGAACATTCGCCCACAAAGCTTTATTGCTCTTTATCAGTACAAATGGTCTACACACTTAATCAGATGTTTATGAACTCTTTTGTTTTGATAACACGAACTTTCTTGTTCTTTATAAGTACAGATGATCTTTACAATTAATTAAATTTCTGTATTCCTCGAAAACGTAAATTCCTTCTTTTTAAAGGCGTTTTAAATCAATACAGTCTTTCTAAGCAGAGTTTCTAAGATTCAAACACTGTAGAAAAGAATATATAAAAGTATAATTGAACACAGGAAATCAGAATCCCTTTTCTACAAATACACAGTTGGTTTTGTTACTAGTATGTCCTTTAAAAATCGCAATTGTGGTTTTTTAGTAACTCATGAGTCATTTGTAAGTTGTCAACATTTTAAGAGTTCCCTTAAGACCCACTTGTGAAACAGACAGAAATATTTCTATGTGAATGTGATCTGTGCAAGTAAGACGACGGTGTACTTTAAGATTCTGTGTTTTAAAGTTTTCTTTAAAAAATCTTAAATTTGATAAGAAACCTATCATTCAAAAAAAGTAATATTAACATAGGGTAAGTCATGTACGCCCTAGCTGCGACAAACCTAGGTTGAAAACAGTTTTCGTCAAATATTATATTTCTTTGTTAATCACTCTAAAAATAGAAATCTGAAGCACGGCAAACACGGACCTCTAAAACATCTGAAATAATATCAGGTGCCATGCAGGAGTTAACATCCCCTCCCAATCGGCCACATCCTAAATAAATCTTTAGACAATTCAATGGGTAAATAATGGCCCAACTATAAATGTGAAATATAGATCTCAATAGATTTATTTGACCATAAGGTCATTGTGTCGATCACAGAACTATCTAAATGATTAAATAAAACGAGACTGCTGATCTTCTAGTGTCATCAACTTGTTTACCATTAGTTTGGGTCGCCTTACCACTAGAGCCTGCTCTTTCGTTTTAAATTTACAAATTTACTGATTCGCAGACGGGATTTAAACCCCCAAACTCCATCACGGAAATTTTTCGAATGAAGTTCACATAATTTAATAATAGGTCAATGAAACATAGACATGGGTGTAAAAATACCTTTAAATGTCTAAGAAGTTAATTTTCCACCGTCATATATGTCATGTTTAAAAAAATCTATGATTAGTTGCATGATATTTTGTAAGTATGAAGATTTATAACTTGCGAGTTTGTTTTCTGTGTAGACCTTCATACTATTAGACAAACCATATACAGCTGTAAATCTCAATCAAAGTTCAGTAGTCCGTTTAGCTGTTGTTCCTCTCTCGTGGTTCAATCCCCTCTAACTAACCTGTTACGTACCTAGTCTAGTATATAAATTCAAATAAAAAGCTATATATATTATTGTTTTATTTTATATTCTATATTTTTTTTTATGAAAAATATCAAAATATCAACTAAAACCTGGCAAAAAAAAAAATAATAAAAAAATAAAAAATCACAAAAAGTTCATCTCGAACACTGACTTTACGATAGAGAGTAAAATAGTGAACAAAACATCGTTAATGGCTTTGTGAATATATGAAAAATGATCTTGATAAGGTGAAGAAACACTGGCGATGTACTTGATTAACTATTGTTTTTTTTCTTTTGATCAATCGTATAAATTGAAGATTGCTTTATTTTATTATTTTTCACAATACGATAAGTACATGTATCAACATCAAGGTAGAGGCTATATAGGTTCTGACAAATGCTTATCCTCTAAACATTAAAGTTTAATCTTCATCAGTTTTTTGAGTTAAATGCTTACATTCTGAGATTCGACAAATCTTAATTTCTGTGTTATGTCTGAGCTTGCTTTAAAGCGTTGATGTTTTTAAAATGGGAATGATTTTTGCGATTCTCGGATTTGTTAGGTCTTTCCACCTTTCCGTGGAAAGACCTATTGAAATTGTTCTGTTTATTATTATTAGGTCTTTCCACCTTTCTGTGGAAAGACCTCTTGAAATGCTTCTGTTTATTATTATTTTATTTCTGGAGATGTTTTGAAACTGTAAGACTTATCGAAAAACTTTATAGTTCATGATATTGGATAATAAAAGTTATTCCGAAAAATGACCCCCCATATTTGAAATTGCCCCTTTCGCAAGAAATATATAGAGGTATGAAACCTTCACCAATGTCTTCAACTAATTAAGGGGAGTCTTCAGTCTATTCATTGCGAAAGTATTCGATGACCCCTTCAATGAGTTATTGCCCCTGAAACTTTCTGAATATTATAAATAATTAAAATTTTTCAAAACGAGATGTCGTAGAATCATGCAATCAACTGCATAAGATTTAGTGACCTTTAACCTTTAAAATTAAAGGTCAAAATCCAAAAAAGAAATTAAACATTTTTTACATCTCTTTTGCCTTTTTACATATACGTAATGTCTTTGCATCGTTAATATGTACTCTTAAAAATATTTCATAGATTTCATTCTTGTCCCCTAAGATTAATCCTTTTAAAAATTATGGTCCCTTGTGCAAAAATCTTTGTTATCGCTACTCCACCCAAACTATATACCGTAGAGACACCAAACCTTCACTAATGTGTTAAGGGTCTTTAGACCTAACTTCACTGTATAAATGTGAAAGGATCTGATGACGTCATGTATGAGTTATTGCCCTTTAACTTCTTTGTACTTAATATTAAACCTTATAACTTGAAAACTATAAGTCGTAGAAGCATGGGGTCAACTGCATTGTGACCCTTGACCTTTGACCTTGAACATTTTATCAAGGTCAAAGGTCAAGGTCATTTCAATTCTTTTTAATTTTCATGTTTTCTAACCTTTAAGACAATTTTGTTTTTTTGTTCATGGAATTTAATTTTAAGGAGTCATATATAAAACAAAATTGAAAAATTCAAAGAAGGTGGAAAGACCTCTTATTGTTCTGTGAACAATAAGTCTCCTAGTTATTTTTATTATTTTTCCGCCAAATGGTTTTTTGTTTCACAAGTTATTGAAGAGATTTATAGTTCATAAGAATGTACTCCTTAAATGATTGTATATATTGACCCCTTTCAGAGTTATCGCCCCTTTTGCAAAAATGTTTGTTATTGCTACTCCTCCAAAACCGTAAATCGTAGAGGAATGAAACCTTCACCAATGTCTCCGAATAATTAAAAAAAACCTTAAATCCTTCATTGCAAAAGTATTCATGACCCATTCAATGAGTTATTGCCCCTGAAACTTTTTGAATTTTACAAATAATTAAAAATTTTCAAAACGAGATGTCGTAGAGACATGGGACTAACTGCATAAGATTTATTGACCTTTGACCTTAAAATTCATGTAAAGGTCAAAGGTCAAGGTCATTCATAAAATGAGAAATTTAGCTCTTTTTGTATCTCTTTTGTCTTTCAACATATACTTAATGTCTATGCATCATTACTATGTACTTTAAAAACTATTTCAAAGATTTCATTCTTGTCCCCTAACATTAACCCTTTTAAAAGTTATTGCCCCTTGTGCGAAAAACCTATTTTTCGTCCGAAGCTATATGTCACCAAATCTTCACAAATGTCTTCAGGGTCTTTACGCCTAACTTCACTTTATAAGTGCAAAAGGATCTCATGACCCTTATATGAGTTATTGCCCTTTAACTTCTTTGTACTTACTATTAAACCTTATAACTTGAAAACTATAAGTCATAGAAGCATGGGGTCAATTGCATTATGACCCTTGACCTTTGACCTTGAATATTTTTTCAAGGTCAAAGGTCAAGGTGTTTCCAATTTTTTCTTTAATTTTATTTTTTCTATGCTTTAAGACAATTCTGGTTTCTTTTTCATGGAATATAATGTTAAGGAGTCAGATATAAATAAATTTGAAATTCAAAGAAGA